GGGCAAGGGAACGGCAGGGCGGAGCACGGCAGAGCACGGCACGGCGGAGCACAGCAGAGCACGGCAGAGCACGGCACGGCGGAGCACAATGGGAAATGGCACGGCACGGTGGGCACAGCGTGGCATGATGCAGCATGGCACAGCGGGGCATAGCAGAGAGCAGCACAGCGGAGCAGGCTCCACCCTTCCCATGGGTCACTCAGAGGAGCACAGACATGGGGACATACAGGGAGCAGCCGGCCGTGTGCTGACGGACAGGCTCGGAGTGATGCCACCATGAGGCAAGGGACACCGAGAGCTGCTGGCCACCCCCAGAGGCCAGGGTCCAGGGGGCTCTTTGGGGAAGTGTGGCCTGTCAGTGCCTCCATCTTAGGAGGAGAGGCAGCCCCGCCGGCTCCTGCAGCAACCCTGGAGCCCAGGAGCCTGACTCGGCTATGCTTCTGGCCCGAGCTCCGGGGCCGGGCCAGGGCAGGGCGGGCATGGAGGCAGCCCTGCCGCCGCTTTCTGCTGAGTCTGGTCAGTCAGGAAGGAACGATCCAGCCCTTGGGCCTCCTTGCCCGAGGGGCTTCGGCCCTGGTGCAAATTAACCCTCCTCCTCCAGAGCGGCCAGGCCTCATGGGGTCTCCTACCCCCTAGGCCTTCACAGACATCCCTGAAGACCTGGGCTACCTGCTCTGACACGCGGTTCGCCTCCACAGCTCCGAAGGCAGCCTGCTCTGCCTCCAGCCAAGCACTCGCCAGGCCCGCGCTCAGCGCGGGGTGACAGCCGCAGCCTCTGGACAGAACTGCCTCGTGTGCTCAGAACACAAAACGATGGGGGGCTGTCCAGATTGAGGGGCGCACCGATCCTGAGAGCCCAAAAGGGGACACCCTGAAAAGCAAATTTCCCCCTTGCCTCAGCAAACCCACGTCGCCTCGCCCCAGAAGGCTGACGCAGAGGCATCTCCTGTGTCCGCAGGTGCAGACCTGCTTCCTCAGACAGAGAGGGAGGGACACTCCTGCCGGCAGAGGGCAAGGCAAACCGACCACAACCCTCACGACGCGCTTCTCTGGCTCAGAGGGCGGCAGCAGGCCCTACGGCCGCACACGCCTCAAGGAGCAGCGGGGAGCGAGGCCAGGCCCCTCGCATTCAGGTCGGGCCTCGGGAGTTCGGTCCACGTGGCCGTTGGTTCTGTTCTGCGTTCTGACTGACGACCAGCGATAAGGATTCCGCTGGCCCAAAGGGACAAGAGGAAGAGCGCTATGGGCGCTTGCAGGGCCCTGTGACCGGAGGCAGGCAGGAGGCTGTGCCCCGCTGGGCTCACCGGCTCTCGGCCCAGATCGAGACGGGCCGTGCACACCTCGCCCCCGCTGGGCTCACCGGCTCTCGGCCCAGATCGAGACGGGCCGTGCACACCTCGCCCACTCCCTGGGCTCGCTTTACTTTTCCCTTTTCAGCGCGGACAGCATGTGTGTGCGTGAGAGACAGAGACAGAGAGAGAGGGTGCCCCCTGATGGCCGTGGTCACACAGCGATCCCATCCATTTCCATCCTGCCAGGATCCCAGCACACATGCACCTGGTGTGTTGAAGTCACAGGAGCTGGGATTGGAACCGTGGTCAACCACGAGAGATCTAAGTCCCGTAGCCACCAGCGCCCGACCTCTGCAGCTTCTCCTTTAGACTCCTCTCTGCTCTTTGCGATTCCACACAACAAAACCAGGAAGTGCAGCAAGCCTGAGTCAGGGCCTCGATCGTGGTCACAGCCACACCTAGGGAGGCCTGTGGCTGCTGACAGAGCAGCCGTCTGCATGGTCATGCAGGCAGGGCTGCCTCCTTGCCGAGCCACTGCCCGGAGCGGGCGAGCCGACCACTGGCTTCCACCAAGAACACTCGAACCCCAGCCACGTGGGCCTCAGCATAAACACAAGTATTCTGTTTGTAAGTCAGAAGCTCCATGAAAGGAGAGTGGTCCCAGGTAGAAAACAGGCCCTCTCACACCACACACAGCTGCAGAGCCCGCACTCCCGGCCCCTGGGCCTGCCTACCCAGCCCTGGGAGCAGGGTCTCTCTGCAGTCATCTGGGAACTCAGCCCTGCCACAGCCCAGCATGTTCTGGCGTCTGTAGGACCAGGCCCCAGGAGGGCTCTAGTGGGCACGGACATGGGTGTGGACATGGACATGGGAGGCTCCATCCTACAGCCCAAGGCCTGGAAGGGCCCCAGCAGGACCACTGCAGAGCTCACCTTCCAGGGGACAGTGCTCCGGCTGGGCCCAGGAACCCATGGCGGGAGCAGAGC